AATAAAAACCCTACAGCTTGCTACCCCATGAGCATCACCTTGATGGGTTCTGCCAAAGCTTTTGGTACTTTCCTGTGTCTGATGTGTCTACACTTTCTTTTTTTTTAATATTGTTTTTTTTTTATTTATTACAATTTATTCACTTCGTATCCCAGCTGTAGTTCCCACCCTCATCCCCTCCCAATTCCACCCTCCCTCCTTCCCTCAACTACTCCCATGCCCCTTCCCCAGGTCACTGATAGGGGAGGTCCTCCTCCCCTTCCATCTGACCCTAGCCTATCAGGTCTCTTTTATAGTCTTCCTCTGTGGCCTGATAAGGCTGCCCCCCTCTCAGGGGAGGTGATCAAAGAGCCAGCCACTGAGTTCTCCTTACTAGGGAGCCGATTTGGAGACTGAACTGTCACGGGCTACATCTGTGCAGGGGTTCTAGGTTATCTCCATGAATGCTCCTTGGTTGGAGTATCAGTCTCAGAAAAGACTCCTGGGCCCAGATTTTTTTGGTTCTGTTGTTCTCCTTGTGGAGCTCCTGACCCTTCCAGGTCTTTTTATCTCCCCCTTCTTTAATAATATTCCCCGTATTCTGCCCAAATTTGGCTATGAGTCTCAGCATCTGCTTTAATACCCTGTTGGGTAGAGTCTTTCATAGGTGTGTCTACATTTTCAACTCACCTCTCTTGGCCAAAGAATGAGTCAGGCCGTTAGGGAGAACAATAAAACCTAAAAGAGGGAGGGAGACACTGCAGGGACAAGGCCATTGCTGAGTCCAGAAAGGCAGTGTTTGCAGCAGGGAAGGGTTGATGGGAAGCATGACATGGAGGCAGGACATAGAACCTACCAAAGCATTGAAGGTGGGATGAGAGAGGAAAGAAGTTCTAAGAAAATGTCTGTTGGGAAAAGCTTCCAGGTGACATGACAGAAAGAATGATGATGAGAATCTGAGCAGAACAGAATGGAGAAGAGTGTTTCTATCATGATATGTTCCTGAAATGCTGTCAAGTTTGCCTCCTGTGCAGAGAGAATAAAGATAATTTCTGACATGCAAAATTTCACAACATGGCTTCCATGCTGCCCCTGACAGGAAGGAAGCTTCTGGATGATCAGCTCTGCCAACACGAGGGTGGGAACCACAAAAATAGTCATGACATCTGGGAGAGAGCTACTGCACACCACAGAGGCAATGTGAATCCCCAGGCTGTTGGCAGCTGTGGGAGCTCTGACAAAGTCCAGATTGTAGCAGGTTCAAAGGCTCCAGGAGCTACTTCTTCAGCAAGAGAGACTTGATGAAAACTAAACATAGTTTTACGTTTCAGGAATAAATTTATCTAACAAAGAGGGAATTCATTGATTGAATTCATGATAAATCTATGCAAACTTTCAAATTAAAACATTACATCTAGAGTAATCAAAAATTACATAAAAAAGAAAAGGTGAAAAAAGCAATTAGATGGACACGCATTTACATATTATGAAATGTATGCATCAGTCAGCCATTCAAATACCAGTTTTTCTATTGAATGTAAAGGAAGGAGAGAAGAAAGTAGGATGTGGTGCTTGTGAGCGGGCAAAATACAATGAGATGATTTTTTTCATTAGTGCCAAATCAAGAAATAATGACGGAAGCAGAAAATCAATAAGCATTCTACATCGTTAGGAAATCTGGAAGTAAAAAAGGAGCACATTTGATTCTTAGGTGTGTGTGTTTGTGTGTGTGTGTGTCTGTAGTGTATGTTATGTTCATGTGCATACATGTGTATGGGGTGGGGGAATAATAGATATCTACTACATTTAAAAAAAAACACCTAATTACGCTGTTTGAAATTAAAAAAAGATACATGGAACCTCAATCTCTGAAAAAAAAATATTGAAATTTGAAACTAAGCAAAAGAGAAAGTTCTCACCTAAGGCAGAAACACGGTTGCAGTCAAGTGTTGATTTTGAAGGAAAAGATAAAATATGGATAATAATGTAGGGAAGAAAAAAAAGTCGACCTTGTGAAGATTTTTCTTAAATTGTCACCTCCATTACCAAGAAAGTGTTTTGTTTCTTCTGCAGGAAGACAAACGGTTGCATCATGGGAAGTGGAGGGGAATGTGGTAGAACTTTAGGAAGGAAGCAGAGGCTGAGACTCATAGCCAAACTTTGGGCAGAGTGCAGGGAATCTTATGAAACAAGTGGGAGATAGAAAGACCTGAAGGGGACAGGAGCTCCAAAAGGAGACCGACAGAGCTATCAAAACTGAGCACTGAGAGCCCTGAAGAGAATGATACCCCAACCAAGGACAATGCATGGAGAGGACCTAAAACCCTAGCTCAGATGTAGCCCATTGACTCAGTCTCCAAGTGGGGTCCCAGTAAGGGGAACAGGGGCTGTCTCTGGCATGAACTCAATGGCAGGCTCTCTGATCACTTCCCTTTGGGGGAATGCAGCCTTGCCAGGCCACAGAGGAAGACAATGTAGTCAGTCCTGATGAGACCTGATAGTCTAGGGGTCAGATGGAACGGGAGGAGGACCTCCCTATCAGTGGACACGGGAAGGGGCATGGGAAGAGATGAGGGAGGGTGGGTGGAATTGGTAGGGAATATAGGAGGAGGCTACAGCCGGGATTCAAATTGAAAAAATGGTAATAAACGGTAATAATAATAATAAAACCCCCAAAACGAAATCCCAGTGTGGGTATAATCGAGCAGATATTAAAGCATTGAAATCGGCGGCGTTCTGGCGTTCGGTTTGATGCAGCAGCTCCTGTCCATGAATGGACTAAGGAAAGTGGTGAAGGTACACTAAACAATGAAAGAGAGTCCACGTTGTCCTCATAACTCCCAGATTAGGAAGGCCAGTGAAGTGGATTTGGGGAAGATGTGAGAGAAAAAAAGAGATCAGGGAACTAGAAGTCGTCAGTGAAGAAAACCAGAGAGGAGCGAGTGTGAAGGGCTGACCGACCGCCCAGTCAAGCTACAGCTGCAGGGCTGGGCCTGGAGAAGAGCTTCCCTGAGGGACAGCGAGGCTGTCTAGCTCTGTGTGTCAGCATCCAGCAATGGGCGTGAGTGTTTTCCACATTGTGCTGATATATCATGCTGAGGCCCAGCACGGAAATGGGGAAACGCTCACCAAGAGAGGCACAGCCTCAGGGCATCTGCATTTGACGTCTTCCCCCTGGATTTGGCCTGAAGTACATGCTCTTCAGCCCCCATTGTGCCGACAGTGTATTACCATGCGGCAGGCATCGAAGTAATGAAAACACGTGACTTCTGAAACATGGAGATAAATTAGTAGGGAAAATTGAATCTTTGTTACCCGATTCTGCTTAATGATTAGAGTGTGCTCTAAATAAACAGAAAAACAAAACAAAAAAAAACAAAAACAAAAAAACAAATTGATTGCCCAAAACTCTTTTAATGCCTTTTTAATTCAAAGGGTTAAGCACATAAAAGTCAGGATATTAAAAGTTAAAGTTCTCATTGAAACATTAATTTGATGACAAATTATGCATATTAAATGTGGGAGGCTTATATTTATAGCATAAAAGCAAGGGGAAATACTGCACCAAGCAGCTTAATTAAATTACATAAAATAACAAACTCGGGTGCAAGTTTTCAAGAATGATTTAGAAAAACATGTTTGCCACCCCCAAAGAAGGGTTGTAAAACCTAACTCTCGAAAATAATGCACTTCGACTTTTAAAAAAATCTAATAAGAATTCTTATTTATTTACCTAAAGTCAATTTTTTCGAGCATATGCACTTTACATTCTTCACATTATTTTACAATACTCTCTTCCAGTTCAGACTTGATCCCAACAAACTCCAAAACACAAGTAGCTGACTACTTTCTTGACAAAGTTAATAAACATTTAAAATTCAGAGAATCAAAATAAAAGTTAGTTTAAAATGCTTTTTTCTCGGTAGTGTAGACCATATGCAGTGTTATGAAGATGCATGCTAATGAGCCATTATTTCTGCATTTCCCTGTATATGTTCCTTTTTATCTATTTGTATTTGTACATTATGTAAATTTCAATCCAACCATGCACAAATGCTATATGTGTATACTGTAGAAATAGAAGGGAGAGGTTGAGGCCTTGTTGGCCTTACTATCTCCCTACATATGCTGTGCTCTTGTTTATTATTTAGACAGCAAGCCTGGAAGACTGTGTGCTCTCCAGAAAGCCTCTGGTGGTCTCATCCGCTTGACCCTGTGGGGCTCCATTCCCTCTGTAAGGGATATTGTGAGCCCTAAAGGCAATCCTGGAGAAAACGTCACCTCCCAGCTAAGAACTGGAGACAGTAGTAAAGGAAGAAATGCAGGCCATATAAGGAAGAGATTGAAAAATCCTTTCTGTTAACTGACATGTCGTATTGCAGCCACTATAGTTATTAATCCAACTTTAAGTACTGGTTATTTCCTATTATTATTAAATTTGAAGTACTAGTACAGATTTTATGACCCTTCAGATTTAATACGTAGATATGTATTATTTTGGTGCAAAATTAACAAACACCACCCAAAGCATCCAACCCCCAAAAGGAGCACATCAGAAGAATACAAAAAAAAGTTGGCATTTGCTTCAGTTTCTACTTTCCAATATGTTTTCATATCCCAGGACAGCAGCCTGTAGAACAACAGAAGTCTTTTCATGGGAGAGAAGCATGTAAATTCCTGAGCGAGTAGACTCCTGACCCACTGGTCAGCCCACCTCTTCAAGAAAGGAACAATGACTGCAGTTTTCACTGAACAAAATCTATTCAGCCACATTCCATGGCAATGAACTCTATGTAAGCTTACTGAGAAAAATGCTTTGTCCATTTACTTTAATCTCTGCCATTTTTTCCCCCTGTTGCCAAACAAACAGAAGAACACAAGCAAACTGCCAAACCCAAAGATGCACAAACGTGTTCGTGAATGCGCAAAGGCATGGTGGTATTTCTAAAGTTCAGCAGCAGGACACTTAGACTGTTTCTTTTTTTTTTTTTAATTAATTTTTCTTTTTCATTTTTATTTAGGCACCACAAGGCCACATAAGGAGGGTGAGGTCCCTGGAGTGGACTACATTTTCATAACCGTTGAGGATTTTATGGAACTGGAGAAAAGCGGCGCTCTGCTAGAAAGCGGGACCTATGAAGGTAAGCACAATGTTTCAGTAAAATGAAGTACTTACAGTGTCACGTAACTTATTTTATTGACTCGTCTGAAGAGCACCCAAGTATCGGGTCACGAATGCGCTGCCGCTTTGGGTCTGAGGGCTGTAATAAAACGGTTTCAGAAACCTGTGAAGACGTATCTGGACAAAGTCTACTCTCAAGTTGCTAGAAGAAATAAATTTGCTTATGTCAACTCAGAGAGCGTAACCGCGTGATTGCTTCCTGAGGCTAAGCTGTGATCATCAAGGTAACACCGGTTTTACCTGGTGGCCTAGGAGGTCAGGGTAGAGTTCAGGCATGCCACTGTTCATTTGCTTTCTCATGTTGCTTGCGCTTGACGGTTTCTCATTCACCCTGCATTCACTATCATGAGGTAGGAAAATACGACCTGCAGGCGAATTTCAAATCCTACGGCAGTCGGCCAGTCTCCTTGTGGGTTTCAGTCAAATCTGAACAAAGAGGAAAATCCAAACATAGAATCGTAGAAGGGTTTTTCACTGCAAAGAACAGAGAAACGTGGGCCAGAATGTCTTCAGTTCCAAACCTGACTCTGTACCTTCCCTCTGTGAATACGTAATATTGCCAAAACTCTACAGGCTTATCTACATAGAAGAAAACAATAGCTTTGAAAAACAGAAGTAAATAGTACGTTGAGATGGTTCTATTTGTACATGCCTATTTATAGGCACCTAGTTTATGTTTGATAAAAGTTTATGCCAGGGCAGGGTGTGGTGGCTCACACCTTTGACCCTAGAACTCAGGATGCAGCAGCAGGTGGGTCTCTGTGAGTTCCAGGCCAGCCTGGTCTAGGAAGTGAGACCAGGACAGCCAAGGCTACACAGAGGAACCCTGTCTCAAAAAACCAAAATCAATCAATCAATCAATCAATCAGTAAAGTTTATATCAGACATAGTGCAATGTTATTTTGAAGTAACATAAAAGCAGAAATATCTTTCCTTTATCATTGTTACATGTCTAAAGTCTATTTATGTGCATTATTATTCAGTCTGGAGATGAAACTAGTCTTATTAATATTGCCAAATAACCTTATTTAATAGCAAAGCCAGTGGTATGTGGATGGCTGCTTAGCCCATCCACCATCTGAGTTCTACCAGCAACACTAAAATAGCCCAGCTGCCATGTAATCAGTTAAACTGTCTACTTCCTCTTTTGTTTGTACAAAATCCTGTGGCCTATGGCTGTTCAAAACTCAGTATTGTGAGGTTTCTGGCAGTATTAAATCTCTCCCATTGTTTAGTATTCTTAAGAAAATTCAGGTTGAAAACTCTGCCTAAATGATAGTAGAGACCATTACTTATTTCTACACTTACAGGAAATAGAGAAGAATATCTAGAAAACAATTCTATGCGTAAGTCACAACAAAGAGATAATAAAGATTGATTTAAAACATTATGAATAAAAAAGATATTTAATAACATAAAGTTGCTTCAAGTCACTGAGGTACAATGCTTTCAATATAAATTAGAAAATAATTATATCAAACGAGTCAGAGAAAATGAACAATGAATTACATAGAATATTTTCCTTTGGTCTATTTGATAATAATATTTACTTTTTATGCATTCTAATAACATTTTAATTACATAATATTTGCATTTAAGAACCTTATTTAATTATCACATTTGTATAGTGGAGAACCGGGATCATATAGGATCCTTCCAAGAGTATGATGAATGATAATGACTTTTCATCAATGAAGCAGACTATAGCCTGATTGTATAGAAGTCCATATGTCCATGTGAAATTTCTATGTTGTTGTTGTCATTAAATAGATGCCACGAAATTTTACATCAGTGCCTTAAAATCTACTTCAGATTTTATTTTAGGTCCAAGTAAATTTGAGAAAAATATACTGAAACTGTGCCAATATAACAAAGCTTTGGAGAAGAAGTGACTGCTTCTGTCTTTCTTAGGTATCATTTCAGAACTGGGTATAGTTTGAAGGTTTGGACCAACTTGTTAAACATTCTGGAGACTCCACTGTATGTAGAACTGCTTACTGAACAGTTAACCAGGTTTTCATATAGGACCTTTTCATTGGTATCCCTATCAGTGTGTGCTTGAATGAATAAATGCAAATCTCTTTTGCTGGATAACACAGCTGCATGGTAGAAAGCTAGAAAACGCTCTCAAACCTTAGGATATTTTTAGTTTGTCCTACAGCTCCAACTAAGGAGAAAGTAAAATTCGTCTTCACTTGCATTCCTTCACGATTGGTCTAACCTAGAGCCTCTACTCACTGATCCATGTCACACCATGGGTTGCCTTTCAGCTGTTGGTACTCTCAGAATATACAGAGAGAAAACCTGCATTACTCAACTAGACATGAAAGACCTTTTCTAATATAAAGTATTACAGCAGTAATCGTTTATATGGCTTTAACATTTCTTTACTAAAAGCCCCACGTCTCTGGATCATATTTCATCCCTTTCGCAGCTTCTGGGCTGTTCTCTTACAACCTTGCCATGCTTTCTCCTGTCTTCTCAGCTCTGTAGAGCCCTTGATCAGTCTGGAGAAGCCATCTCCAGTATTTTATAAGTACACCAAAGAAAATACCAAGCTGTTCTCAGAATAAAGATAATAGACTTTTCTGCTAACTGTGTGGGCTTTTTAACAACAAAAGGTGCTCCCAAAATTTAGTCTGCAAGCCTCCATTCTGCCTGGCCATTCATGATCTGGAAAAAGAATGGGCAGTCCTCTTAGCTTATGCAATATGCTGCATCTCTTGTCCTGAAAATAAGAGCTGCCTTCTTTTTTATTAGCAAAGACAAAAGAGAGCCTTTACATACTGCCTGGTTTAGCTACTCATCATTGAGAAAAATGATTTCTACTGTTTCTGTATGTCTTTAGTCCTGCCACTTGATTTTACAATGGGAAATGCCCACTTGTATAAAACTATTGTGAGGAAAAAAAAAAAGATGTAGTTATTTTAGCAGTTTCCGTAGACACACTTTTTAAAAATTTTTTTGTTAATTTTAATTTAATCCTGGTGAATAGATGCAGCCAAAAAGAAATTTGTCTGTTATTTTATTGATCCGGTATCAAAAAGACTCTCCTGGGTTACAGTTCTGCCTCTGGAAAGCTTGGTCAAAGATCTTGCTCCAAAGAACAGTTCTGTTACTTGAGGAAGCCTACACGGAGGAGGGTCTTAATGTGCCTGGTTATCGTCAGCTATCCCATATTCCCCTCAGCAGAATTTTGAGTGATTCTTAAAGCCTTAATTATTTTTCAACCTAAACCTGCCCGAATGCTTCATTTTCGTTCACCTCAGAACAGCGGCCCCTGGTCCTGTAGTTGAGTGTCCTGGGAGACTTGAGTAAAGATGAATATGGGAAGTTAGTGAAGGGGCCTTTCCAAGGCTTCCAATACATGCCTCTTGACTTTCACATTCAGTCAGGCTTATGATTAATTTGATTTATTGTACCAATAATCTGTTAACAATATATTACTGATTAGTGAACGAAAACCCAGTCATGAGCCTTGTAATACAATGAAGAATGCTAGAAAAATCAAAGGACTAAAGGTGTAGGCTTCCTATGGAACAGAAGCCAAAGAACATTTTGGATGCAGATCACTTGCTTACAAATATGTGTGATTTTAATGAGCAAGTTTAACACTTTAAACTCTAATGATAGTCTATAGAAGACAAACATAAGGACAGTATTGGCCTATATCTTCTTGGGCATTTTTTTCTTATCAACAACCTGAAGGGAGGTTTCTCATACCTCTTACTGTTTTATTATTGTTGTTTTATTTTGTTTGTTGATTGGTTGGTTAGGTAGTCTATAATTCTTGGGAAAAACAAGTGGGTGAGGAAGTTAACTTAAACATACAGCCAGGCATGGTGGTGCGCACCTTAATTCCAGGGCTCAGGGAGACAGAGGCAGGCAGTTCACTGTGAGTCCGAGTCTAGCCTGCTCTACAAACTGAGTCCAGGACAGTGATGATTGCACAGAGAAACCCTGTCTCGGAAAGGGGAGGGGGCGGACATCATATATAATGTTTCCTAATGGCTTTCTCAAACAGTGTTGGTTAGCACCCGCCCTCATTTCTCTTTCGTTATTTCCCTCCTCCACTGCCCAGTTAGGTTACCTGCGCCTGTTCTCATTTCCCCCTTCATTATCACCGATGTCCACTATCCGCTGTCTAGACCTTCTAATCTCCCTCTCCCCAACAGTCCCTTTTTACTTTCCTGGTTACTCCAGTTACGCACTCACATCTAAAGACATGGAGCTAGGATCAACAGGTGAAAGAAAGCATGTCCCATTTGTTTTTCGGGGTCTGCATTACTTCACTCAGTATGATGCTTTCTGGTTCCATCCATGAATCTATAGATGCCGAGCCTTTGGGAAGTGACCAAGTACTGAACTCCCCAGTACTATGAACCAGTGACTCCTGCACCATCATCTTCTTCTTGAAATTGTCTGGGATATTATAGTCACAGATCCGCTCATCAGTCATATCTGTCTCAGCCAGTGTCCTAATGTCACATTAACAAGCCACTCATTGCCTGAGCTTTGCCTAGACTGTTTCACTTAATTTGCATACTGAGATCATCTTGTCCTTTCCAAAGCATTTTTTTCATTGTATCATCCATGATTACATTTTCCTTTTTTATTTTTCTATTACAAAACGGGAATTTTTAATCTATAGAAGAGATTACTGATCACAAAATTAAATTTTTCCTTTAAATGGACATTAGCCCAATTGCAAAACTACCTCTGGTAGTTTGAATAGGCAATGTCACCCTTAGGTTCATATACTTGATCTCTTGCTCCTCCAGTGCTGGTCATACTGGGGACTTATGGCACCTTTGATAGAGCCTTGTTAGAGGAAGTATGACACAATGAGGTAGGCTTTGAGGCTAGAAAACTCTCTTCTACAAGTAGAATGAAATATGATCATCCAGCTTCCTTCTTCTCCTCCATTACATACCATGCCTTCCCTACTATAAGGGTTCT